TTTTTTGGTTGCAACCATCATTTTGTTTGGTGGGTCTGGGTTGGATTTGAACCCGCCACCTTAGGTGTATGTGGCTGGCACCTTAGCCACTTGAGCCACAGGCGCTGAGCCTGTGCCAAGTAATTTTTTAAGAAACAGTAATTTCCCAGTACTGATGCAGAGCCTTCTGAAGTGTTTGGGGGTAAAAACTTGATTTCAAACTCTTAGTATAAAAAATTGTTTCTCAGGCTCTGCACCCATAGCTCAGTGGTTAGGGTGCTGGCCACATGTACCAGTGCTGGTGGGCTCGAACCTAGCCCAGACCTGCTAAACAAAAACAACAACAATGACAACAAAAATAGCCAGGTGTTATGGTGGGCACCTGTAGTCCCAGCTATGGGAGGCTAAGACAAGAGAATCGCTTAAGTCCAAGAGTTTGAGGTTGCTGTGAGGTATGATAACATGGCACTCTACCGAGGGCAACATAGATTCTGTCTCAAAAAAAAAAATTGTTTCTCGAATCAAAAAAGGAATATAGATAGGCTGGGTGCGGTGGCTGACGCCTATAAACCTAGCACTCTGGAAGGTGAGACAGACAGACAGACTCTTGAGCTTAGGAGTTCAAGAGCAGCCTGAGCAAGAGTGAAACCCTGTCTCTGCTAAAAATAAAAAATTAGCCAGGTGTTGTGGCGGGAGCTTGCAGTCCAGCTACTTGGGAAACTGAGGCCTGAGGATCACTTTAGCTCTAGACTTTGATGTTGCTATGAGCTATGATGATGCCTTAGCACTCAACTCCAGGGTGACAGAGTAAAACTCTGTCTCAAAAAAATAAAAAAAGGAATATTGATAGTTAATTAATATTGGTATCGAGAGCATTTTCATCCTCATAACGTCCAGACTGGATAGTTATCATTCCTGTTTTTTAATGAGGAGAAGTGCTTAGAGATGTGAAGTAATTGGACAGTTATTGCTCTAGATCACTAGGTAGGCAGAGCCCAATTTCAATCCAGAGTCTAGTAAAGCAATATCCTCCCTTTTCACTGCCCAAAGCGTATGGCAGTTTCCACTACCAACACTACAAAGTGACTGAGCCTTCTGTACTTCTTCGTCTAGCCCTCATTCCTCTACATATTCCACATTCTCTAGATCTCTTCATCTTCCTCACTTCATTCCATCTTTATCTTTAAACTAGTCATGAGAACGAGAATTTGAAGCACCTCATACTGATGATTCTGTATCTGAAGAGGAGGCTTCCTTAAATAGCAACCTTTGAGAAATCCACTATGAATCCAATGTTGCCAATATGGGACTTCGATGCAATGTATTTGCACCTTATGTGATGATCAGAATCCTTATGAGGTGATCACTGTCAGATTCAGGGGTAGATGTAAGTACTTACATCAATAGGACATGCCAGCTATTATTTTGGTGAAGAGCTAAAAAGTAGACTGAACAAATAGCCTACAGCCTTCAGGCATTTTGGAAATTGTTACTTTGTCAGAATAACACACTGTCACATTCACTCTCTTGAATCAGCTGTCAAGGAGAGGTTGCATCACAGATGTGCCACTTGGTCACAGATGGAGCGTCAGGCAGGCAGAGATATCTGTAACACATTTTAGGAAGGTTTCTATCAAAGAAAATTAGAATCTTCTAAGGAGCAGTTCTTTGGAAGGTGAAGGACACTCAGTTTATTTTTTATTTATTTATTTATTTATTTTTTAGAGACAGAGTCTCACTTTGTCACCCTCGGTAGGGTGTGGTGGTGTCACAGCTCACAGCAACCTCCAGCTCTTGGGCTTAGGCGATTCTCTTGCCTCAGTCTCCCGAGTAGCTGGGACTACAGGTGCCTGCCATAACACCCGGCTATTTTTTGTTGCAGTTTGGTGGGAGCTGTTTTTGAACCAACCACCCTCGGTACACGGGACTGGTGCCCTACTCACTGAGCCACAGGCGCCACCCAACACTCAGTTTATTTACAGAAATTCATTCTCTTACCTCCTTAGTTCCTTAGACTAAGGGATTGCTTAAGGGATGGGATTTCCTGATAGTGAAGCACATCCTGGACCTGCCATCTACCAGAATTTCAACACACTAAAATGCCTTGTCTGCTTGAGCCCTCCTTGCTATGAGAGACTTAGGACTAAAGGAGGGAGTAAACAGAAAACTAGCGTGATGGGAGCCTTTATTACTCTATGTATAATCATTTGTTGTATTTTAGAAACAGTGTCCTTTGCCTTTAACTACTTAGAGCATGTGTTTTCCTTTAAAAAAAATCACTATAAGTCTTTAATAAAGTAGCATTGACTAGGTATTACTTCATTTTTTTTTTTAAGGTTTGTATATGTGGGGAGGTTAGCAATAGTTTTATCTCTGTTATATAAATCACAGTTTCAAGTATTGGCTTTACTCAAAAGGAAATACACTTGTTCTAGGTTATTGGTATTTTGTGGTTGTTTGATGCATAGAATCAGTGATAGGGTCTAGTTTTTAGTCTTGACGGGTATTATTATGTGCCCTAGGAAAGCATGACCTGCTAACCTATGTAGTCTAAACTCAAGGAGAACTGGACTTTGAGTTTTATCTTGTGAGTTCTCATTTGCTTCTGAAATATATGTTAAAAACCATAGGAGAGGGTGGCGCCTGTGGCTCAAAGGAGTAAGGCACTGGCCCCATATGCTGGAGGTGGCGGGTTTAAACTCAGCCCTGGCCAAAAACTGTAAATAAATAAATAAATAAATAATATAGGGGAGGGCGGTGCCTGTGGCTCAGTGAGTGGGGCACTGGCCCCATATACCGAGGGTGGCAGATTCAAACCTGGCCCCAGCCAAACTGCAACAACAACAACAAAATAGCTGGGTGTTGTGGTGGGCTCCTATAGTCCCAGCTACTTGGGAGGCTGAGGCAAGAGAATTACTTAAGCCCAAGAGCT